AGAGAAACCCTGAGACAACAAGCAAGCAGATAGAGGAACAGTGCCGACAGGGCTCTAACTAATTTAAAAAGCCCTTATCAGCCTACTCCTTAAGTACCCCTAATAGAGTATCTGTGACTTTTATTATTAATCATATTTCAAGAATGAGATCATGTCAGGCTGCAGAAATTATAAGGGTTTGAACAAACCAAGACATTATTATATGATAATTCTACAAAGCAGAAGTTTCCAAAGGAATACGTATTCCCTCCAGATAAAAATCCTTCCTAGTCGCCAGGCGGTGGTGGCGCACGCCTTTAATCCCAGCACTCGGGAGGCAGAGGCAGGTGGATCTCTGTGAGTTAGAGACCAAGCCTGGTCTACTGAGTGAGTTCCAGGACAGGCTCCAAAACAATACAGAGAAACCCTGTCTCGAAAAAAAAAAGAAAATCCTTCCTAGTCAAAGACAAAACTACATGAGACACTGAGCAGTCCAGTACTTAGTCTGTAGGCTCCTTGTCATATTGTACTAAAGGGTGTCACTGCACTGGTGCTCAGTCACAATGGCTCAGCTATAATTTCTACTTACACTGTCTTTAAGAAACCCAGAACAACATCTACATGTAATCGCTCTTACTCACATACCTAATTACAGTTAATTTGATAGAGGATGACTATTATCTTCCAACTGAGGATTCTGGAGTTAAAGGGGAGGTTTTAAATAAATGACTTGCTTAAGAATTCACTATTTAGCCAGGCATTGGTGGCACATGCCTTTAATCCCAGCACTCAGAAGACAGAGGCAGGCAGATCTCTGTGAGTTCAAGGCCAGCCTGGTCTACAGAGCGAGTTCTAGGACAGCCTCCAAAACATACAGAGAAACCCTGTGTCAAAAAAAAAAAAGAATTCACTGGTCAACTTTTATGGCTGCAGGAACCATGAGAACTGGGTTAGAAAATTAATATATTCTTAAATTTCCTTCTTAGCCACAAACAACATAAAATACCTTGGGGTAACGCTAATCAAACAAGTGAAAGACCTGTATAGCAAGAACTTTGAGTCTTTAAAGAAAGAAATTAAAGAAGACACCAGTAGGTGGAAAGATTTCCCATGCTCTTGGATAGGTAGGATCAACATAGTAAAAATGGCAATCTTACTGAAAGCAATATACAGATTAAAATTCCAGCACAATTCTTCACAAACCTTGAAAGAACAATAATTAACTTTGTATGGAAAAACAAAAGACCCAGGATAGCCAAAACAAAGCAACATCTGGAGGCATCACCATCCCTGACATCAAGCTCTATTATAGAGCTGTAGTCCTGAAAACAGGTTGGTATTGGCACAAAAATAGACAGGTAGGCCAATGGAGTCAAACTGAACACCCTGATATTAACCCATACATGTATGAACATCTGATTTTTTACAAAGAAGCTAGAAATATACAGAGGAAAAAGGAGGGCATCTTCAACAAATGGTGCTGGCATAACTGGATGCTGGCATGTAGAAGACTGCAGATAGATCCATGTCTATCGACATACACAAAACTTAAATCCAGGTGGATCAAAGACCTCAACATAAACCCAGCCACACTGAACCTGTTGGAAGGGGGGGAGGCACCCTTGAATGAATTAGTGCAGGAGACCGCTTCCTGAACTTAACACCAGTAGCACAAACACTGAGATCAACAATTAATAAATGGGACCTCCTGAAACTGAGAGGTTTCTGTAGGGCAAAGGATACAGTCAGCAAGACAAGAAGGCGACCCACAGATTGGGAAAAGATGTTAACTGACCCCAGATCTGACAGAGGGCTGATCTCCAAAATTTACAAAGAACTCAAGAGGCAGGTCTCCAAAACACCAAAGGATCCAATCAAAAAATGGGGTACAGAACTAAATGGAGAATTCTCAATAGAGGAGACTAATATGGCTGAGAGACACTTGAGAAAGTGTTCAAGATCCCTAACCATCTGGGAAATGGAGGTCAAAACAACTTTGAGATACCATCTTACTCCTGTCAGAATGGCTAAAACCCAAAACTCCAAGGACAGTTTGTGCTGGAGAGGATGTGGAGAAAGGGGAACACTCCTCCACTGCTGGTGGGAGTGCCCACTCGTACAGCCACTATGGAAATCAGTATGGAGATTCCTCAGGAAAATGGAAATCAATCTACCACAAGACCCAGCAATTCCAAAAGATGCACATTCATACAACAAGGATGTCTGTTCCACTATGTTCATAGCAGCATTATTTGTAATAGCCAGAACCTGGAAGCAACCTAGATGCTCCTCAACTGAAGAGTGGATAGAGAAAATGTGGTACATTTACACAATGGAATACTATTCAGCAGAAAAAAACAATGGAATCTTGAAATTTGCAGACAAATGGGTGGCACTAAAAGAGGCCATGCTGAGTGAGGTAACCCAGTCACAAGGGGAGAAACATGGCATGTGCTCACTCATATATGGATTTTTAAAAAGATTTATTTATTTATCAAGCATACACTGTTCTGCTTGGATGCCTGAAGAGGGCACCAGATCTCATTACAGATGGTTGTGAGCCACCATGTGGTTGCTGGGAACTGAACTCAGGTCCTCTGGAGGAGCAGACACTGCTCCTAACCTCTGAGCCATCTCTCCAGTCCTGGATTTTAGACATGAATCAGGGGAGTGCCAGCATACAGTCCCACTGCCAGAGAGTCTGGGAAACAGAACCTTCATCCAGCGACTGATGAAAGCAGAGGCAGATACCACAGGCAATCACTGAACTGAACTAGAATCCAGTGTCAGAAAGAGAGAACTGATGGGCAAAGGAGTTAAGAGTGGGCTGGTTTAACCCACAGAAACAGTTGACCTGAACAAGGGGAGCTCTTGGACTCCAGATTGATGGCTGTGTGGAAAGCAAGGGACTGACCCAGACTCCCTGAATGTGGGTGTCAGTGAGGAGGCCTAGGTAACCTATGGGACCTTGGGTAGTATTTATCCCTGGCGTACAAATAGACTTTGAGTGTCCATGCCACAATATGGGAGGCTCTCTCAGCTGGAACTCTTGGGGGAGGGCCTAGGCCCTGCCCTGGATGAAATGACAGTTACTGGAGATCCACCATGGAGGGCCTCACCCTCCCTGGGGATCAGAGTGGAGATTGGGTGAGGGACTGGGGGACTTGGTAGGGAGGGTAAAGGAGGAAGGGAGGGAGAAGGATCTGGGATTGACATGTGAAACAAGATTGTTTCTAACCTAAATTTAAAAAATAATATTTTAAAAAAATCTGTACCACAGAACTTAACAACTTAAGGGTTTACCATTCATGTTTTGGTCTGTTTGATTATCAAATTTCAGAATATGGGTTAGTCCAGACATGCCTCTGTTTTTAGAAATGAACTTTTTTTAAGAAGATAATTGTAGCCGGGAGTTGGTGGCGCACACCTTTAATCCCAGCACTTGGGAGGCAGAGGCAGGCGGATCTCTGTGAGTTCGAGGCCAGGATGGACCGATAGCCTCCAAAACAATACAGAGAAACCCTGTCTCGTAAAAACCAAAAAAAAAAAAAGAAGAAGAAGAAGAAGAAGAAGAAGAAGAAGAAGAAGAAGAAGAAGAAGAAGAAGAAGAAGAAGAAGAAGAAGAAAATTGTATTGCAAAGCTAGAAATGGTGGGGCATGGCCTGGGCTACATAGCAACACTCTGAAAATAAGAATATTCTCACTTACACATTTACACATTGGGTGTTCCATACAACACTGACAGTTAGGAGTTGCAGTCTATCATGTGGCTGTCAAAGCCTATACTATTTACTGCTGGCTTTTATAGAAACATGCTGACAGCCCTTGGCCTGTGTGACCGCTGCCCCCAGAATGAGCAGCGCGAGCCAATGCAGCAGTCCTGAAGCGATTCATTGGATACAAGACTGAGAGGCAGTGATACTAAGAGATGTGTCCCAGGCTACACTGCTTGTAAGTAGCGGTGTGTTCAAATCACCATCTTTCCAAAGGAGAGACTCTTACAGGAGCAAGAATGCCCTGGGAGCTGGAATAAATGCCTCCAAACTGTTATAATTCTCAAATACATACATGGAAATGCCACACAAATCTTATTATTTCAATAATATCACAAACCCTAGGTTAAAACTTTATATTATCCTTTATCCTTACACAAAATTGGTATGTCAGTAATGCACACATCCACGTCTAACTTTACCTCAAAATGAGAGCTTCCTGGTCTCACTCCCACCCATCAGAATGGTGCTCCTTTTCTAGAACCAACTTTAGTGTGAGACAGCATCTTGCTATGCATCTAGGCTGGTCTCAAACTCCTGAGCTCCAATGAGTAATTGCAACTTCTCAAGTAACTGGGACTACATGTGGGAAACAGCCAGCACTCTTCATTCTCTCCCATAGACCCGACAACACGCAGCAGTGAGGGAATAAAGAAATGAGAGATGAGTTTATGGTACACAGCTGGACAGGGAGGCGGGGCTTATGGTACACAGCTGGACAAAAAAGAGGGTTCAGCTAGTATCAGTAGAAGTGATCTCTGTAAGGGAGCAGTGTTCATGTCATAACCACCCTGGGGAAAAGCTACGATGGACATTTCTGCCCACACTATCAGCATCCATACAGGAAGCTAGGAAGGTTTTGCCATTACTGAGCCTTACTGTGGGTCTGAGGCTTTTTGATCCTTTACATGGCTGTGCCAACAACACATACCTGACTCCTCAGGACTCAGGGCTTCCTCTCTTCCCACAGTTCTCTGATTTTCTAAACAATACTCATTATTCTCTCCTATTCCTTGTGCTCAACATTTGTCTCTTCTATTTTCTTTTCTTACATTCCTTCGAGCATTTTAATTCAAAATGTGAAAAATCAGTTTAGATTAAAAACAAGTAGAAGAGAAACACTGACCTAAACAATGGCATTTCAAAAAATAATGACTTTGATAAAATATCTATTATTTTAAATTCTATTAGCAAAATACATTATAGGTTTAAAATATTCTGTTAAATAATATTTTATTTGAATCTCAAAAAAATATGGAACACTTTGCAGATCTGCAAGTCATTGTTGCTCAAGGGCCATGCTAATCTTTTCTCTGTGTAGTTCCAATTTTAGTAAATGTGCTTGGTAGCCCTCATTCTGTTTTCTATGATTCACTGATCTATTTCCATTTTCATTATACATACATATATATGTATAACATATATTCTTTTGGGTGTTCTGAACTAGGAGTTCAGGTGCCCAGGCTGACCTTGAACTAGATAGGTCACTATAACTAAGGGGGGCCTTCAACTCCTGACCCTCCTGTCCCCACCTCCCAAGTTCTAAAAATACTGGTGTGTGCCAGCACACCCAGCTCTGCCATATTCTTATTTTACATGACTTAGCAACTAAAATGCATGCAAATACTCATGAGTATCTTTGTGTCCACTCGACTGCCCATCGCCGGCCCACATACGTAGTAAATATCTGCTGACTTGGACAGCCTGACACTGGACACCTGGTTCTGTGCTGTCACACTCTGTTGCTTACCACACCAAGCTAGGTTGTCTCCAGTACATCTGTCCAGTTTTCAAAAGGGCGAGAGGAATAAAAAGCAAGAACTATTGTAAATGAGAGTTTTCCGTTTCTATGATGTCTTTGCATGATGTTCAATACTTTACATGTGAGCTCCTCTTTGACTGTACTTTTCCCTTAAAAGACTAATATTACATCAGTTTATCAATATAACCTATTCCCTCATCATTTAATCTTGAAGCCAAATTGTTCACACTCAGATCCCCTCATAAATAAACACAATGTTCCAATTGAGCTGTTGGCAGCAGAATGTGCTCACAATGAGGAACCTTCGCTGGCTTGGCAGGAATGACAGAATTAGCTAATTACAGTACAGTCTCCTATATCTGTTTTCATTGGGATAAGGGACAATCTGGCGATATCAAAAAGCAAATGGTCCAGAAAGACATCTTAGGATACTTCTGCAAAGATGGTAATCTCCCCCCTAAGTCATCTTAGATTGGGCACTGTTCCACGTAAAATTTCCATGACGTTAAGAAAAACTCCAAGAGAAAGAGATTTGAAAGTCCCGCTAACATTGGACATTGGTGGTGCCTGCCTTTAATCCCAGCACTTGGGAGGCATAGGCAGGCAGATCTCTGTGAGTTTGAGGCCAGCCTGGTCTCCAAAGACACAGAGAAACCCTGTCTGGAAAACCCCCCCCAAAAAAAAAAAAAAGGTCCCACTAACAAGTCAGCCAACAAATGCTATTTTGGAGAGGCAGAAAAATCTTTGGGGCTAGATTTACAAAAAAGACAAGAGACAGAAGGTAAAGTATAGCCCCTGTCATAAAAAATGTCAATTTTTCTTTTGGGGGAGAAAAAGTTAAGCAGGAGACAATTTGAAAGCAAATGAACATATTTTGGAGGCAGCATGAAGAAGCTTTTCTTTTGGGGAGCAGGTCAAAGGCCCATGGACCACCTGCGCAGCATAAAAATCATTTGAAAAATTTAAAAATTTCATTTCTCACCGGCTGTGTCACTAATTATGGTGACTACAAGGCTGCTGGTGTAGGGACAACAGGGACCCCTGTTTTGGGCTTTAAGGCTGAGCTACAAGAAGTCAGGTGTACCGTTGCACAACTTTAGTCCCAGCACTTGAGAGACAGAGGCAGGAGACTCTCTTAAATTGGAGGTCATCCTGGTCTACAAAGCAAGTTTTAGGACAGCCAGGTCTATACAGAGAAACCCTGTCTCAGAAAACAAAATAGAAGACTGAGATACACAAGAGACACTTCTTTTTTCATGGTCTATATTCTGCTTGCTTCTAAAATAGACAACAGGTAACCTACAGAATAAAACAATGTGTGCTATTTATGGTTAAGACAAAAATTTACCCCTCAGACAGTATAGGAAAAAAACGTAGACACAGAGTTGAGTCTCAAATCTGGAGTCAAAGGATGTAAAATAAAACAGCTTCAGTCCCCACCATTCTCCTACAGCACAGTGTGAAACTGTGCAGCACAGATTTGCCACAGTTCTATCATAGAGTTGCTGAACAGTACATTATAAAGCCCCCTTCTTGGAGAATTTGGAGAATCAAAAATAAAACGAAATTCTGAGACACTGGTTTTGCCTTCATTTCCTTTTAACAATGAAGGATAAAAATGCTAATAAGATCTTTCCTGGTTTGGGGGGGAGCTTGGTTTTTTTGTTGTTGTTGTTGTTTGTTTTGATGTGAGGTCTCAATACATGGCTCAGGCTATCCATGGACCCAGACTTACTCAGACTCCCAAATACTAGGGTTAATAGTAAGAGTGCAAACTGAAAAAATAAAATTACACCATTAGAGTAGCAGTTCTCAACCTGTGGGTCAAAACCTCTTTGGAGATCACATATCAGATATCCTGCATATCAGATATTTTCACTATGATTCATGACAGTACAAAATTAAAGTTATGAGGTAGCAAAAACATAATTTTATGGCTGGGGAGTCACCACAACCTAAGGAACTGTATCAAAGGGTTGCAGGACTAGGAAGGTTGAAAATCACTGCAATAGAGGATGCCTTAGTCAGGGTTACTTACTGCTGCTGCGATGAAATGCCACGACCAAAAGCAACTTGGGGAGGAAAGGGCTCATTTGATTTACACACCCCCAGTCACAATCCACTGAGGGAAGCCAGAACAAGAATTCAAATGGGCAGGATGTTGTGGAATATTATTTTAACTAGGCAAATATGTGTTACATTTGTTTCTGCTGTATTTGTTTAATGATGTAAGGATGTGTGCTTATTTATGTGAAGACGTGCTGCATCTGTTTCACCTTGCCTGCTTAAGGCACCTGATTGGTCTAATAAAGAGCTTGAACAACTAGAAGCTAGGCAGAGAAAGGATAGGCAGGCAGGGATGGCAGGCAGAGAGAATGGGGGAGGAATCTAAAGAGAGAAGAACGAGGAGGAGGAAGAGAATGAAGGAGACAGAAGGGGATGTGCCCAGAACAAGAAACCAGGCAGCATCAGTCAGTCAGGCATGAGAAGCAGTGAAAGTAAGATATACAGAAGGAAAGAAAAGTAAAAAACCCTGAAGTGAAAGGCAGATAAAGAGAAAACAGGTTAATTTAAGTTAAAAAGAGCTAGCCAGGCCGGTGGGTGGTGGCGAACGCCTTTAATCCCAGCACTTGGGAGGCAGAGGCAGGTGGATCTCTGTGAGTTCGAGGCCGGGCTGGTCTGACAGCCTCCAAAACAATACAGAGAAACCCTGTCTCGTAAAACCAAAAGGAAAAAAAAGAGCTAGCCAGAAACTAGCCTAAGCTAGGCCAAACATTCATAACTAATAATAAGTCTCCATGTCATGATTCCAGACCTGGCCCAAAAGAAAAAGCCTGGTACAACAGGAACCTGAAGGCAGGAGATAATGCTAAAGCCATGAAGGCTTGCCGCTTACTGACTTGCTCCCATGGCTTTGCTCACTCTGTTTTCTTATAAAACCCAGGACCAGCAGCCTGAGGTAACCCCACCCACAGTGGGCTGGGCCCTCAGCCATCAATCATTAACTAAGAAAATGCCCTACAGGCTTGCCTACAGTCCAATCTTATAGAGCCATTTTCTCAGTTGAGGCTTCCTCGTTACAGATGACTTTAATTTATATAAAGTTGACAAAAAAAAAACAAATCAGGACAGAGGAGCAGCAGAAACCCAATCACTTTATGTCTGTTAGTCAATAATAACATAGACACAGGTAAAGGGACATTTGGAGTTACACGGATGCCTGCAGTTTAAGACACCAGTTAGCAAATGTCTTTTTGTTTGTTTGCTTGTTTCCAGACAGGGTTTCTCTGTGTAGCCCTGGCTGACCTGTAACTCACTCTGTAGACCAGGCTGGACTCAAACTCACAAAGATCTCTCTGCCCTCTGCCTCCTGAGTGCTGGACAAGGTTAAAGGCATGTGCCACCTCTGCCCAGCTGTCTTCATGTTTTTCCTACCAATTTTGTTCTGATTGCATAGTGCATAGAAATAAACTTTGAACATGGAAAACAACCCAGACCAAGATCATCACTTTTGACATTATAATGCAAAAGATGAATTTACTTCTTCTATTTTAAAAGGCAGACTCCCACTTATGTTATTATAGATATTTAAGTCTTCCAGTTTTCTCCCTAGTGAATCAACTATAAATACAGATATAAACTATAAATATTCTAAACCAATATAAGACTAATTTACTCTGGAAAAAAATCATACCAAGATAAGTCACCTAAAATTCTAGCAAAAGTTTTTGGAAAATATCCTCAAGATAAAATATCAACAAACATAAATTCACTATCAAAATCACAAAAAGGTGGACACTTTAATATCATCTATTTATGTAGCTGAGGCACGAGGCTCACAGCAAGTTGAAATCAGCCTATGCTCCATACTGACTTCCAGACCAGCCTGTGGTACAATATGGACCCTGTCAAAACAAAAGATAAGTAAATAAATGAACCAGTCGTGCTGGAGAGATGACTCGGAGGTTAGGAGAATCCACTTACTACTCTTGCGGAGGACCTGAGCTCCAGGGCCCCAGTGGCTCACAGCATCTAGTAACCCCTGTAGTCCTCGGGCGCCTCCACTCAGGTGCACATACACACGTATATACTTCATTTATAAAATGAAGCAAGCCTGTGGTGATGGCGCATGCCTTTAATCCCAGTACTGGGGAGGCAAATGCTTTAAAACAACAAACCAACTGTGGCCTTTCAGAAGAAGACAAAAAGATGACACTCTGTGGCCTTTCAGAAGAAGACAAAAAGATGACACTCTTCCTCCTGAGAATGATTAAGAACAAAGAAAAACTAACAATATTCCTTTTGGGACCAAGAATCCCTGCTGAAAGCTGAGCACGCTACGACTTTTGAACTTACTCTGCCTGCAAAGTGCTCAGGCATTGGAGGTTTGCTTGATGTTACAGGCAAGGGCATGGCCAACACCACCCAGGGGAAACTCCTGAGGTGGGCTGCAAAAACAGAAATAGCTTCCCTGGGGCAGTAACTCGGCGGCTGGAGCATTTGCATGAGCCCTGGACTCCAATACCAGCACTGAAAACCATTTTTTAAGTAAATAAGAAGAAGCCCAAATAACCAAAGAAAACCAGTGGT